TCTTGGACCCCTTTTTAAAGGTAATACTCTCTTTTGGGGGAGCTCTGGTAGTGTAGTGCCTAAGGCATTTGACTGCTAATCAGAAGGCTGGCGGTTCAAACCCACCAGCCACTCCTCGGAAGGAAGATGGGGCAATCTACTTCCGTAGTGATACTGCCTCAGAAACCCAAGGAGGTGTCACTGTGAGTCAGGTCCGACTCGACGGCACATAACAACAACAACATACATAGACAAACAGGCAGTCATCTAAACAGAACAAGAGCATACTGCATGGTTTAAAATCAGGAAAAGTGTGTGTTAGCGTTCTAGCCCTTCACCATACTTATTCAATCTGTGTGCTGAGCAAATAATCCAGGAACCTAGAATATATGAAACATGGCACTGGGATTGGAGAACGACTCATTAACAACCTGCAGTATGCAGATGACACAGCCTTCCTCACTAAAAGACAAGAGGACTTGAAGCACTTACTGATGAAGATCAAAGACTTAAGCATGGCTTATATTGCAACATAAACAAAAATCCTCACAACTGGGCCAATAAGCAACATCATGATAAATAGAGAAAAGACTGAAGTTGTCAAGGATTTAATTTTACTTGGATCCATAATGAATGCCCATGGAAGCAGCAGTTAAGAAATCAAACAATGGTTGTTTTTTATCCCCCCCCCCCCATGGTGGTATGAAACGTGAGTCTGCTTTTTTCCGAGGTTGGTCCAAAATCAGGATCAGACATCTGAGGCCTTACAATCTAGAAAGTTCTCTCTCGAGGGTGTTTAACACTCTAAATGAGGTAGGTCAGGTCAACTTTTCAATGATTAAATCTTCATGTAAAGAATGGAAACCCCTCACCAATGTATATTGCACTACTGTTCATAATAACCAAAAAAGAGTAAACAACAACAAAGGTAAATAGTATTATAAATGCAACCCTGCAGTAACAGTAATAACAAACAATATCTACTAGTAGATACATAGGTAGACGTGTAAACTGAACATAACAGGAAGGAGAATAGGAGTTGCTCATAGGTATATATAGGTTTGGCAGAGGATGGCTGCACAAATGCAAAGAGATTCAACTACATGGATCATAACAAATTATCCAACTACCCCAGCCCTAATCCTGTGATCATAATCATGTTGACATGGATTTTTTCCCTTCCTCACTGTGAGCTGGGGGCCCCTTCTTACCTGGTTCTAAATGAACAGAACAGGTATTCAAACACAGTTAACAAACACATCCCTGACTCTGCCAGATGTGGTTCTAAGTACTTCACAAATATCATGTTATTAAACCTCAGATGCCTGGGGTGGGAGCAGAGAAAGGGAGACAGACAGAGAGTCTCATGTTACTTAGTATCTCAAAGCTTTGAGATACTATCATATATCCCCATTTTCCATATAATAAAACTGAAGCACTGCCCTGGATGTAGGACCAGGAAGGCCAAGGCTGGGAACTTGCATCCAGCCATTTTGTTTCTTCAAGAAACTAAATCTGCTGCCCATTTTTAGGGCCATGATGGGCAGGAAGAAGTGGACTTTGGTGGTTAGAGAAGCATAGCAGGATGTTGGCAGAGCAGCAACTTGGGCTTGGAAGGGCTTTTCTATTCCCCTGGGCTGGGGTTGGAAAGGAGCCAGTTCAAGGACTGCTGTCAGGCCCGTAAGCCCAGAGACAGTGTGTCTGTCACCTACAAAGCCCTGCTGGTCCTGTTGCCCAGGCTGCAGGAAACAGCAGCTGAGAAATAGGCTGAGTGACCTCTGACCCTCATTCTCTGCTCTTGGCCCAGGAGAAGAATGGCTGGTGCGTTCGGTGGGTGCATACCTACCAGCAGTGTTTGAGGAGGTTCTCGATTTGGTGGATGCTGTGATCCTCACAGAAAAGGTTTGTGCTCTGAGGATGGTGAGTTAAGGGGCCCTAGTGGAGGGAGCACTCAGAGTGGCAGAAGGTGAGTAGAAGAGAAGCCATATTACTGGGGCCACTTAAAAAAAAAAATTAAAGGTCAGATCACCTAGGAAATACTCATCTGAGAAGGCTAAAAAGTCTCCTGAGTTATTAGAAATCGTCAGTCAGTCCTGGGAGCATTGAGTGCCCACTGGGTGGAGTTGCTGCTCATTTCAGAATCCACTGAGCAAGCTGGAAGTAGGTTTACCCAAACACCGCCAACGTCTTCCTCTACAGACAGCCCTGCACCTCCGGGCTCTGCAGAATTTCCGGGACTTGAGGGGCGTGAACCGCCGCACTGGGGAGGAATGGCTGGTGACAGTGCAGGACACGGAGGCCCATGTACCAGATGTCTATGAGGAGGTGCTGGGGGTCGTGCCCATCACCACCCTGGGCCCCCGCAACTACTGTGTGATCCTCGACCCAGTCGGACCAGATGGCAAGAACCAACTTGGGCAAAAGCGTGTTGTCAAGGTACCCTTTTCTTCCTCCCTGCTCAAAGTCTTCCCCCTGACTCAGAGGCTGCACTAGGAGCATAAATGCCCTGGAATGACATAAGACTCTCTTCTCTCTCCCCTTCTCTCCTCCCACCCCAGGCATACATTCTAGAAACACCAAGCTTGCCATGGCTCCCTCTGGGCCTTCATATATATAGTTCTGTTTGCCTGAAATAATGTCCCTCTTTACTGCCACCCCTGGGAGAGCCTCCTTGGCCTTGGCCCTGGCCCATGCCCAGACACCCTGCAGCTCTTTCTCTTCCATTACTCATCTCTCTCTTCTGGCAACTATGTCATCCCTGGATGCGTGTACTTCTTGGGATTCCATGACACTTGATTTTCAGAAATTCCTCAGTTCACCTTTCTCTTTATACACAACTCTTCCCATCTCTGAATTATGTATATGAGAGCACCAGGGGTCAGCAAACTTTCTGTAAAGGACCAGGTAGTAGATATTTCAGGCTTTGTGGGACATACAGTTTCTGTTGCAGCTACTCAGCTCTGCCATTGCAGCTAGAAAACAGCCATAGACAACAGGTAAATGAATGGGTGTGGCTGTGATGCTATAAAAGTAGGAGGCTGAAAAGGGAGAAACAACCCAAATGCCTATGAGTTGATGAATGGATAAACAAAATGTGGTATATCCATACAATGAAATGTCAGCTATTAAAAGGACTAAAGTACTGATACATGCTACAACACGGATAAGCCCAGAAAACATTATGCTGGAGTGACGAGCCAGACACAAAAGGCCACAGGTTGTATGATTCCATTTATATGAAGTATCTACAACAGGCAAATCCATAGACAGAAAGTCAATTAGTTGTTGCCAGGGGCCAGGGAGAGGGAGAAGGAGAAGGAGTGATTGCTAAGGGGGACTGGGGTCTCTTTTGGGAGTGATGGAAAATGTTCTAAAATCGGATAGTAGTAGTGTTTGCATAACTCTGTGAATATACTAAAAGCACTGATTTCTACACATATAAAGATGAATTTTACGGTATGTGAATTATATCTCAATAAAGGATATACATTTTAAAAATAAAACAGGTAGCAGGCTGAATTGGTCTAAAAGTCAAGAGTTTGCCAACCCCTGGACTATACCATCCCAAGAAAACAAAACATGAAATTGAAGAGGAACAATAGGTGAATTCTTAACCATTGAGCTTGTAAGGATCCAGGTCCTGAGAGAGCTTCACAGTCCAGATAACTCTCACTGTGTTGTGACATGGGGTGGGGGTGAGGATAAATGGTTATTTTAGACTCAAGTCCTCAACACAAGCCTGAGGCTGGATGGGGTTGGGGGCGGTGCCATCAGAGGCACCTGCAACCCTGGGTGGCAGCTGCTCCAACCCCACATCTCCCACCAGGGAGAGAAGTCTTTCTTCCTGCAGCCAGGGGAGAGGCTGGAGCGAGGCATCCAGGATGTGTACGTGCTGTCGGAGCAGCAGGGACTGCTGCTGAGGGCCCTGCAGCCCGTGCAGGAGGGGGAGGATGAAGAGCAGGTCTCCCACCAGGCCGGGGACCGCTGGCTCATCCGAGGGCCGCTGGAGTATGTGCCGTCGGCCAAGGTGGAGGTGGTGGAAGAGCGTCAGGCCATTCCTCTGGATGAGAATGAAGGCATCTACGTGCAGGACGTCAAGACGGGAAGGGTAAGAGCTGGGGGGTGGGAGATACTGCTGTGCAGCCACCATGGTGACTTCTCTGGGCAGGCAGGCGATGCTCACATGGTAGCGCTTAGGGAGGCGGTTTCAATGGCCTGGGTGCAGTTCCTCAGCACGTCGGTAAGCCTGAGGGTATTTCTTGGAGTATTTGCCATTCATATTTTTGTCTTAAATTTCCAGGTTTTGAGACCTCAAGTGAAAGGCTGAGCTTGAGTTGAGGTAGGGCACTCTATCCCCGCTGTAGATCTCGCCCCAGGTCTGACTGGGATGTGGCTGAGGAACAGTAAGAACCCAGCTCCTCCTTGTGTCCATTATTCTGGTGGAGTTCTCCTCACCACCTCACCCAAATAGATCCTAAAAGCTCACTGTGGGCAGAGCAGGACGTCTCTAACTTCTTTCTCTAATAACTCAACCTAGAAGTACAGCTCAGGATTCTAGGTGGTATCACTGAAATGACCTTCTGCCTAGGACTGCATCTGGCCCCAGGGTGCCCTCAAAGCTGACCACTGAAGGAAAATCCAGAAGAAGTAATATCCAGCCCTTCCTATAGGACAAGTGCTGATCTCAGCACTAGACATACACCAGTTGCCATCAAGTCCATTCCAATTCCTGATGACTTCGTGTGTTCAAGTAGCACTGTCCTCCTCTGGGTTTTCAATGGCTGATTTTCCAGAAGAGCACCAGCCTTTCATCTGAGGCATCTCTGGTGCACACAAACCTTGAGCCCTTATGTTAGCGGCCAAGCACATTAACTATTCTCACCACCCAGCGACTCCACCAGACTATAGACGATGTTTATTCTCAACCCAGTGAGGTAGCCACTATCTTGACCATTTTACAGACGAGGAAAGTGAAGCACAGAAGTGAAAAGCTAGCCCAGAAGGCAGAGCTAGCGGATGGCAGACTGGGACGTGAGCAGAGACCGTATGTCACCAGTCTGCTGTCCCACCTCTCTGGAACAGTCCTGCTTCAGGAGGGCTGGGTGGGTCTTTCTTCCTTTACCCTCCCTGGTGACATCACTCCTGTCCTCACCTCTCAAGGTGCGTGCTGTGATCGGAAGCACCTACATGCTTACGCAGGATGAAATCCTCTGGGAGAAGGAGCTACCTCCTGGAGTGGAGGAGCTGCTCAACAAAGGGCAAGACCCCCTGGCCGACAGGGGGGAGAAGGCAACGGCCAAGGCCCCACAGCCCTCAGCCCCCCGGAACAAGACCCGTGTGGTCAGCTACCGTGTCCCTCACAACGCCGCGGTGCAGGTGTACGACTACAGAGAGAAGAAAGCTCGGTGAGGGGCAGGGGCCGTGGTGCTGGGGCAGGGGGGCTGCAGGGGTGTGGATGAAGGGCAGAGCCCCAGAGGCCCTCCAGGTATCTGACTCCGAACTCTCTCCGCAGCGTTGTCTTTGGGCCGGAGCTGGTGTCGCTGGGACCTGAGGAGCAGTTCACAGTACTGTCCCTCTCGGCAGGGCGGCCCAAGCGTCCCCACGCCCGCCGCTCCCTCTGCCTCTTACTGGGGCCAGATTTCTTTACAGACGTCATTACTATTGAGACAGCAGACCATGCCAGGCTGCAACTTCAGCTTGCCTACAACTGGTAAGGGGTGCAGAGGAGATGGTGAGGTTTTGGGTGTCCTCCCAGGGAAACCCTGAGACAGAGAGAAGCCCCCAGCAGTGCTGGGCTCATAATAAGAACAAAATGTCTGGCTTCATGCTACTGGCCAAGAGGGAAACGGGTGTGTATGCAGATCCAGTGTGATGCCCAGGGCCACTGGCAGGGATTCCGGACTTTAGCTAAACTCCCAGCTAGTGTGCAGCCAAACACTTGTTTGCAAGGTTGTAAAAAGATTAATTGGGAATAAACTGTGTGAGTGGGCAGGATGAGAGAGCAGTGTGCAGGGGCAGAAAGGGCTTCAGCCCAGATCTGCAGTTTGCTAACTCTGGTTGTGGGCAGGCAACTTAGTTCTTGCCACAGTTTGCCAGTCTGTAACATGAGGATGACATTACCTACTTCACAGGGTTTTTGAAAGGATGCAATGAGAATTAGAACAGTGCCTGGTACATAGGGCTCAAATGGCAGCTATTAGAATTAGGGGAGATAAATCACATACAGAAATAACTCGTGACAACTCCCAAGCACATGTTCCTCACCTCTTGGCAAAGGCAGATGACATATTCAGGGGTACTACAGCATGACAGTTAAGAATACAGACCCTTAAGAAAAGAAGAAGAACAATACAGATCCTAGAGCCAGACTGCCTTGACTTGACTTGATATATACTGTGTGGCCTTGGGCCAATCATGTAACCTCCTCTCAGACTCAGCTGTGAAATAGGACTTATACTTACTTCCACCTCACAGGACAGCTATCAGAATTAAATGAGAGCACATGTAAGGTTGTGTTAGCATCCTCTATTATTAGAGGCCCTGCCCAGGGAGTGAGTGTGGAGGTCCTCCTTGAAGGGAAAGTTTCTCCCATTCTGAGCCTCTTTGCTCACAGGCACTTTGAAGTGAGTGACCGGAAGGACACTCAAGAGACAGCCAAGCTCTTCTCAGTGCCCGACTTCGTGGGTGACGCCTGCAAGGCCATCGCATCCCGGGTGCGAGGGGCTGTGGCCTCTGTCACCTTTGATGACTTCCATAAGAACTCAGCACGCATCATCCGCACTGCGGTCTTTGGCTTTGAGACCTTGGAAGCCAAGGGCCCTGACAGCATAGCTTTGCCCAAGCCTCGGGACTGGGCTGTCTTCCACCAAAATGGGCTGGTGGTCAGCAGTGTGGATGTACAATCTGTGGAGCCTGTGGACCAGAGGACTCGGGATGCCCTACAACGCAGCGTACAGCTAGCCATTGAGATCACCACCAACTCCCAGGAGGCAGCTGCCAAGTGAGTGAGGCCTGGGGACCCAGCTGCCCACAGTGCTCACTGCAGGCCAGACTTTCTCTCAGGGTCCCCATCTCCATTACACTGCTAGGGCCTGGATCACATGGTACCCTTAATGGTTGGCTTGCTGTAAAGGACTTGTCTGCCGAACAGGCAGTAGACTCAGTGTGACTGAGATGCCATCACTGCTCCTGTGGCTTCCCACCTTGCTCATGATAAAACCCAAGCTCCTTTCTGTGACCTTCCATGCCCTCTGAGGTCCAGCCTGCCCCCTGCCTTCCAGTCTTCTTCCCTAGCTGCAGTCCCATGCTTCAGTCCCACTGGCTTCTTTCTGTTCCTCAATGCAAGCTTGTTCTCACCTGAAGGGCTTTTGCACTGGCTGCTTCATCTGCGCAGGATGCTATCCTCCTAGAACTCTACAAGGCAGGCTGCTTCTTCAGCTCCCACTCAAAGGTGACCTCTTTGGAGAGTCCTTTTTTTTCTGCCCCAAGCAAAGAAGTGCCCTTTGCCTCGTCCTGCTCTCTCATCACCTATTCTACTACCTTCAAGGTACTTCTCAATGTCTGACATCATCCCTGTTTACTTTTGTCCCCACTGGAAGGTAAGTTCTATGAAACCAGGACCTCAATCATACTGTGTTCCCCTGGGCCTAGAATCTACCTCGCTCACAGTGAGTGACCACAATGTTTCTTTGCTTGCACCGTGAGGGGCTTCCATGGGTGAGGTCTGGCCTGGACATGAGACAGATTGGTGGTCCATTCCCTTAGAGCTCACATGCCAGGTCTAACCCCATGCCAGCATCCTACCTGTCCCCTCTCTTGTCTAGGCATGAAGCTCAGAGACTAGAACAAGAAGCTCGTGGTCGCCTTGAGAGGCAGAAGATTTTGGACCAATCAGAAGCTGAAAAAGCTCGCAGGGAACTCTTGGAGCTAGAAGCTCTGAGGTGCGTTGAGTACTAGAGGAGGAAGAAGATGGTAGGGGGGCAAGGGTCTTAGAAAAGCAGCTGGTTGGGGTGGGGGTGGCAAGTGAAAACAGCTACAGCCTAAATCAAGGCCAAGGAGAAGGACAGGGCTTCTTCCTGGGGCCTGCCTGACCAAGATGCCTCCTCTTCCAGCACAGCTGTGGAGAGCACCGGGACTGCCAAAGCAGAGGCTGAGTCCCGTGCAGAGGCAGCGCGGATTGAGGGAGAAGGCTCTGTGCTGCAAGCCAAGCTGAAAGCGGAGGCCTTGGCCATTGAGACTGTGAGTGGGGGCAAGGCCATGGGAGGAGAGCATTTATCGAGGGCCCACTTAGTGCTAGGAGCTCAGTGGGCATTCTTCCCCTGTGTTTATTAATATGCACAACAACTGGTAAGAAACATTATCATCTCATAGACAGAAGGAAGCAAAGTTTGGTAAGGGCGGAGTAGTAAATCAGAAAGAACACCTCTTAACCCTCAAGCTTACTGCTCATACTTACATTGAGCTTTCTACACACCAAGCACTTGAGAATGCTGAGAACATGTATTGTTTAATTTTCACAACAACCCTATGAGGTAAATACTGTCCTCTGTCATGCAGAAGAGGAAATCCAAACTCAGGTGAAATGACTTACCCAAGGTCATACAACTAACAAGTGGATTCAACTTTGGGAAGTCTGGCTCCAGAGTCTGCTCTTAACCAAGGTCCTCTATCACGTCCATGTGCTGCTGCCATGAGCAGAGGCTGATTAAAGAGGCAGATAAACTTGAAGATGATAAATACAGTAAAGGGTATAGGGTATGGTGAGTCACTGACAAAGATGTTGTTAGGTGCCGTCAGGTCATCTCTGACCCACAGCAATTCTGTGTACAACAGAATGAAACACTGCCTAGTAGAATGCCAGCCTCATGATCCCTACTGTACATAAGCCCATCGCTGCAGCCACTGTGTCAATCCATCTTGTTGAGGGCTTTCCCCTCTTTCGTTGACCCTCCACTTTACCAAGCATGACATGCTTCTCCAGAGAATGGTCCCTTCTGACAACATGATCAAAGTAAGTGAGACAAAGTTTGCCCCTTCTCGCTTCCAGGGAGCATTCCGGCTGCACTTTTTCCAGGACAGGTTTGTTAGTTAGGTCTTTTAGCAGTCCATGGTACTTTAAGCATTCTTTGCCAACACCACAACTCAAAAGCATCACTTCTTCAGTCTTCCTTATTCGTTGTCCAACTCTCACATGCATATGAGGCAACTGAAGATACCAAGGCGTGGGTGTGGCTCATCTTAGTCTTCAAGGAGATATCTTTGCCCTTCAGCACTTGAAAGAGACCTTTTGCAACAGATTTGCCCAATGCCATACGTCTTTTGATGCCTTAACTGCTGCTTCCATTGGCACTGATTGTAGAACCAATATGAAGTCCTTGACAACTTCAGTCTTTTCTCCATTCCTTGTGATCCTGTTTATTGGTCCCATTGTGAGGATTTTTGTTTTCTTTATATTGAGGTGTAATCCATACTGCAGACTGTAGTCTTCAATCTTCATCAGTAAGTGCTCCTCACTTTCAGCAAACAAAGCTGTGTCGTCTGCGTATCTTAGGTTGTTAATGAGCCTTCCTCCAATCCTGGTGCCACATTCTTCTTCATATAGTCCAGATTCTTGGATTATTTGCTCAGCATATAGATTGAGTAAGTATGGTGAAAGGATACAACCCTGACACACTCCCTTCCTGATTTTAAACCATGCGGTATAGTCTGAGCATGCAAAGATAGATAGTCTGAGATTTTTTTTGAGGTGCTAACTTGAAAGATGAGTATGAGTAAGCTCTTAAAAAAGCTAGAGAACATTGCTTACATTCATACACAGCTTAGAAGTAGTAAGACTGTCACTGAAACACTAGCCAGCCTGTAACTTTGACTTCACCCATCATGTGAAGTTTGCTGTCCAGCTTCCTTGACCCTCCTAGCCACAAAGTTTACCTCTGCCAAGTCTTTATACCCAGCATGCATGCCAACCTGAAACGCCTTCCTTTCCAATCCTTGAAGGCCCTCCAAAAAGCCTGCAAGAATTCCAGCCCTCTAATATTTTCCATCTTTGGACTATTTCTGTCCTAGTGCAAAAAGGGCTTGGTGGAGGAATCATCTGGTCTCTAACTTCACAAGGTGGGGAGGAGGATCAAGGTCAAGATCAACAGCCCAAGGTTGATCCCTATGAGGTGAAGGTCAGACATGCTGCCACCCTGCAAGATTTTTTTTTTTTTTTTTTTTACCAATTCTGACATGAATCCTCCACCCATAGCACTCTACTTCTCTGCTGGGCTTGATAATTCATTGCAGCGGCCACAAAGAACTTGCTACTTACCACACAAATAATACACATGATTGAAGGGTTTTTTAGGGAAGAAACAGGTTACAGTTCACAATTGGGAATGCTCAGGATACAGTTCTTCAATCAGGACAGCCTCCCTCAGCCATACCCAAAGGCATGACTCTCTGGCCCTTGGGCCCTTGGCTTTACCTCTGCTGGGCTTGGGCAAGTATCACAGATCTCTTTTAGCTCTGTGAATAAATGCCTAGAAGCACCCCACTCCACCAGCAAGCCTCAACCCAGAGGCACTCAACTTTCTTGCTCCATGGGCCAGAAGTCCACTGCCACCATTTGTTGCCATCTCAACAAAGCATGTAGCTCTCCCTCTATTGAAGAGGTTCAACACAGGGATCTTGGGATGCTCTCTACACCTAGCTCTTCTCTGTTGATGACACTGAGATCCCCCTTTCCACCTCTGGCATGACTCATTTTAAGCCTAGCAGTAGGACAGAACTGACTAATCCCAACATTAGGGTTCCATACACCTTATCTGCACAGTTGTACCCAAAAGGGTGCCATACACCTTATTTACATCACTAACAACCTATCCAATTCCCCTGGTGGGCCAAAAGCACTTCACATTTGCATACTCCTACTGAGTCCACTGAGAAGAGTCACAGAGACCACGGGTAGAAGGGCCATATGAAGCAATTTACTGCACCACATCTACTCACCACAGTGTTCTTTGGCACTCAGCTTACATACTTTGGCACTGTCTTGGCTTAAAGTCTGTTTTGTCTGATGTTAATATAGAAGTCATCCCTGCTCTCTTTTGGCTACTCTTTGCATAGCAGTATTTTTTCTATCCTTTTACCTTCAGTCTACCAGGGGGTCTAAGCTAGGTCTCTTGTATATAGTATATAGTTGGATCATGTTTTCTTGTCTATTCTGCCAGTCTCTGATTTTCATTGGAGAGCTTAACCATTTACATTAAAAAAATTATAAGGAAGGACTTACTTCTGCTGTTTTGCTATTTATTTACTGTGTGTCTTATTCTTTTTATCATTTTCTCAAATACTGCCTAGTTTTGTGTTTACTTGATGGAAGTTGTGAATAAAGAAATGGAGTGGATAAAGACTGATACCCTAGGCATTAGTGAGCTGAAATGGACTGATACTGGCCATTCTGAATTGGACAGTCATATGGTCTATGATGACAAGAATGACAAATTGAAGAGCAGTAACATCACATTCATTGTCCAAAAGAACATTTCAAGATCTTCCTTGAAGTACAATGCTGTCAGTGCCTACAAGGACCAGTTACTTCTACTATTGTTCAAATTTATGCACCAACTCCTAAAGCCAAAGATGAAGAAATTGAAGATTTTTTACCAACTTCTGCACTCTGAAATTGGCTAAACATGCAATTAAGATGTATTGATAATTACTGGTGACTGGAATGCAAAAGCTGCAAACAAGAAGCATTGGTATTTGGAAAATATGGTCTTGGTGATAGAATTGATGCTGGAGATCAATCACATGGTATAATTTTAAAAAAAAATTATTGTGATTTGGGTGAAAGTTTACAGAGTAAATTCATCTTCCATACAGCAGTTCACATACACTTTGTCTCATGACATTGATTGTAATCTCCCACAATGCAACAGATCTCCTCCCACTTCATCCCCATAGCCACCTCTTCCCTGTGTCTTTCCCTCCCATCCACTCCTGCACATGATATAATTTTGCAAGACCAATGACTTATTCATTGAAAATACTTTTTTATAACAACATAAGCAGTGACTGTACACGTGGACCTTGCCAGACGGAATACATAGGGATCAAATTGAAAGAGACAATGGAGATGTTTAATATCATCAGATAGTAGGTGGCCAGGGGTTGAGTGTGGGACAGGCTAGCAATTATTCCTATGCAAGTTGAAGGTGAAGCTGAAGAAAATTAAGACCATGAGAGCCAAATTATGACCTTCAGTCCTTCTTACCTGAATTTAGGTAGTCTGAAGAACAGACTTGACAGATTAAACACTAATGATCAAAGATCAGACAAGTTGTGGGATCCCATCAAGTACATCATCAATGAAGACAGCAAAAAGTCATTAAAAAGACAGGAAAGGAAGACCAAACATGATGTCAGAAGAGACTAAAATTTGCTCTTGAACAGAGACTGGTTAAAGCAAATGGAAGAAATGATGAAGTAAAAGAGCTGAACAGAAGATTTCAAAGGACAGCTCAAAAAGACAAAGTAAGGTATTATAATAAAATCTGCAAAGACCTGGAGTTAGAAAATCAAAGGGGAAAAACCACGGTTGGCATCTCTCAAGCTGAAAGAACTGAAGAAAAAATTCAAGTCTTGAGTTGCAATATTGAAGGATTCTTTGGGCAAAATATTGAATGATGCAAGAAGCATCAAAAGAAGATGGGAGGAAAACACAGAGTCACTGTACCAAAAAGAATTGGTCACTGTTCAACCATTTCAGAAGGTAGCATATGATCAAGAACCAGTGGTAATGAAGGAAGAAGTCTAAGGTACACTGAAAACACTGGTGAAAGGCAAAGCTCCAGGACTTGACAGAATGCCCACTGAGATATTTCAACACACAGATGCAGCACTGGAGGTGCTCATTTGTTCATGCCAAGAAATTTAGAAGGCAGCTACTTGGCCAACCAACTGGAAGAGATCCATATTTGCACCCATTCCAAAGAAAGGTGATTGAACACAATGTGGAAATTACCAAACAGTATCATTAATATCACATGCAAGTAAAATTTTGCTGAAAATAATTAAAAAATAATTGCAGCACTGTATTGACAGGAAATTGTCAGAAATTCAAGGTAGATTCAGAAGAGGACATGGAACAAGGAATATCACTGCTGATATCAGAGGTATCTTGGCTAAAAACAAAGAATACAAGAATGATGTTTACCTGTGTTTAACTGACTATGTAAAGGGATTTGACTGCATGGATCATTATAAATTATGGATAACATTGCAAAGAATGAGAATCCCAGAACACTTAATTGTGTTCATGAGGAACCAAAATGCAGTTGTTCAAACAGAACAAAGGATACTGTTGTTGTTGTTATGTGCTATTTAGTCAGACCTGACTCATAATGACCCCTCCTTGGGTTTCAAAGGTAGTATCACTACGGAAGTAGATTGTCCAACCTTCCTTCTGAGGAGTAGCTGGTGAGTTTGAACTACCAGCCTTCTGGTGATCAGTCAAGTGCCTTAGGCACTATACTACTAGAGCTCCCCAAAAGATACTGCATGGTTTAAAATCAGGAAAGGTATGCTTTAGGGTTGTATCCTTTTACCATATATATTCTATCTGTACAAAGAAGCTATACTATGTGAAGAAGAGTGTGAGATCAGAATTGGAGGGAGACTCATTAACAGCCTATGATATGCAGATGAAAAAACCTTGCTTGCTGAAAGTGACTTGAAGCACTTACTGATGAAGATCAAAGACTACAGCCTTCAGTATGAATTACACCTCAACATAAAAAAAATCCTCACAACCAGACCAATAGAAAACATCATGATAAATGGATGAAAGATTAAAGTTGTCAAGGATTTCGTTTTACTTGGATTCTCAATCAATGCCAGTGGAAGCAGCAGTCTAGAAATCATACCACCCCTTCTGGTAAGATGGAGGAGTAGGCAGACAACCAACATAGACCCTCTTCAACAAAGAAAAGAAAAACCAATTGACAGAAGATAATTCTGGAGCCCTGAGCTTTGAAAGGAACTATACAGAAGTAGGCACCAACTAGTGGAAAAACCTGAACGAAAACAGTGAGTACAGAGATGCTTGGAGCTGCGGACTGTCATCTACTCTGACGGGACCAACAGCCTGAATATTTCCAAGTAGTGAAAAGCACAGCACAGTACCTTGCTTGCATAGATAATATTAAAACAAAACAAAGAAAACAAAAATCATGGGCAAGTCACTCCAACATACAATCACCAATTAAATATAAACACAAAATCATCACAATGCCTTGGAGACAACAGAGCATCACAGTCCACACAAAGAATCAAGATAAAGCAGGAGAAAAAAGGGACCAGGATACAGACCCAAAACACATCTCTGAGGAAGACACAGCATTGGAACTCCCTGGTAAGGAATGCAAAAGAATTATATTTAGGTATCTTCAAAGGATTGAGAGACAGATCAAGGAAAACACAGACAAAACCCTAGAATTTGAGAAGAAAATACAAGAACAAGATGACAAAAGAAAAATTAGAAATCATTCAGAGTCTACAGATAGAAATCCAGATGATTAATACTGAATTGTCAGAAATGGATAATGCATTGAAAGGGCAAAGGAGTAGATTTGACGCAATGGAAGACAGAATAAATTTCACTTCTTTGGAAAAAGATCAATCAGAAAAAAGATCAAAACAAAATGAAGAAAGCCTTTTTATTTAACTTTTTTCCTTCATACTTCTTTGAATTACTGTCTAGTGTCTTTCTTTACAACATGAAGGGCTCCCTTTAACATTTCTTAAAGTAACAAAACTACCTCAGCTTTTGTTGATCTGGGATTCTCTTCGTTTCACCCTCATATTTAAAGATAATTTTGATGGGCACAGAATTCTTGACTGACAGCTTCTTTTTTCTTTCTGTCAGTACCTTAAATGTGACCCCACTGCCTTCCAGCTTCTATGATTTCTAAGGAGAAACTGGCACTCAATCTTACTGAGGATCTCTTGGATGTGATGATTCTCTCTTGCTGGTCTCAAGAGTCTCCCTTTATTTCTGCTTTTTGAGAATTTTATAATTGTCTCAGTGTGTATATATTTAGGTTTATTCTTCTTGGTGTTTGGTGAACACCTTGGATATGTAGATTAATTCCTGTCATCAAATTTGGGATGTTTTCAGCCATTATTTCCCCAAGTAGTCATTCTGTTCATTTATATTACTTCTTGGATTCCCATAATGTGTATATTAATCAGCTTGATGATGTCCCACAAGTCCCTTAGGCTCTCTTCACTCCTTCATTTTTTCATTTTACTCCTTACTCTTGACAATCTAAATTGCCCTATCTCCATCTTTACTGATTCTTTCTTCTGCCAAATCAAATCTCCTGTTGAGCCCCTCCAGTGAATTTTTTATTTCTGTTCCTGTAATTTTCAAGTTCAGTATTTCTGTTTGGGGGAGCTCTGGTAGCGTAGTGCCTAAGGCACTTGACTGCTAAGCAGAAGGCTGGCAGTTCAAACTCACCAGCCACTCCTCAGAAGGAAGGTTGGGCAATCTACTTCTGCAGTGATACTGCCTCGGAGGGAGCTCTGGTAGCATAGTGGCTAAGACACTTGCCTGCTAACCAAATGGCTGGCAGTTCAAACCCAGCAGCCACTCCTCGGAGGGAAGGTTGGGCAATCCTACTTCCGTAGTGATACTGCCTTGGAAACCCAAGGAGGGGTCGCTATAACAACAACAACAACAACAACAACAACCGCCTCGGAAACCCAAGGAGGAGTCACTATGAGTTGGGTCTGACTCGACGGCACATAACAACAACATTTCTGTTGGGTTCATAAAAAAAAAAAATGATCTCTTTATAAAAATTCTCTTTCTTTTTCCTGTATCATTTTCCTCATTTTCTTTAGTTCTTTGTCCATCTTTACCTTTAGTTCTTTGAGCATATTTAGTATTGTTAATTTAAAATCCTTGATTAGTAAGTGAGGAGCTCTAGTGGTACAGTGCCTGTGGCATTTGACTGCTAACCAGAAGGCTGATGGTTCAAACCTACCAGCCACTCCACAGAAGGAAGATGAGGCAATCCCCCTTGGAAACCCAATGGGGGTCACTATGAGTTGGAATCAACTCGATGGCAGTGGGCTTGGTTTGGTTGGTGACCAGTAAGTGCATTATCTGTCCTTAGTCAGGGACATTTCCCTTCACTTTATTTTGGTCTTTTGTATGAGCCATTTTTGCTTTCTATTTTTTTCATATACCTTGTTATTTTTTGTTGAAACCAGGACATTTGACTCTTACACTGTGGTAACTCTGGAAATCAGTTTCCTCCCCTTCTCTAGGGTTTTCTTCTATTGTTTTTACTGTTGCTGTTTTAATAGTGGAAGGCTATAGTCGTCTGCTTAAACAGACCCCTTGCCTGGGGATGCAGGCTGTGGCTGCTCCAACACCAGACTCTCTCCTGGGTGCACAGTTGCTGTAGCTGCCACAAGATTTCTGTGCCAAAGTAGGGAGGGGATGGGGTATGGACTGTGTATAATCAGTACCCTTACTATTTATATGTCACCTTTCTGATGCAGTGTTTGCTTAGATGCCCTAATCCATCGGCTGGTTTTCAGAGCTCTGAGATGATTGATTCTACCAATTTCTGCTTGTCTTTTTTCTTTTCTTTTTTTTGTGGGAAGATGGGAATGTTCCCATTTATGCTGCCGTCTTTCTCCTCCTTCGGGCATCACCTTGTTTTCCAAACACTTAGCTGCCTCACCTAGTAGCCTTTGAGGATTCAAAGAATGTCTACTTCTTCAAATTCCTAGCTGTCTCTCCAGCAGCCTATGAGTCTGGAGCATACCTCTTTCACTATTCTGAGTCATGGAGAATGTATTTGGACTCTAGAAAAAGAATTCAAGCTCCTATGTTAGGGTACATTGGTTAAAAATCTTCACACTGGAGTGAGTGATAAGCAACAAACTAGGAGCTAGGCTCCTCTCCAGCCCTGCTACCTTGTACCACTAGCTTCCCCCACCCCAGTCCGTCCTTAGTATTTTCACTGAAGCCAGGTAGGAAATCAAGAAGGTGCGCTAATATAAATTCCTATTCAAGTACCTTGTATTTTACAAAATTATTTGCCATGTATCGGTTCATTTAATAATTTCCTTGAAGGTAAAGATTATTATGCCTATTTTACAGAAAAGTACTCATAGACATTTAGCCCATTCTGTACCAGGTATTGCAAATATTGCATATGCATGATCTTATTTAATGATTGAAATCCCATCAAAGTAAGCATTAAGAGGCTCAGATTAAGAGGCTCTCCAGGCATAACCCAAAAGGTGGCATAGCCAGGATTCATCCCTAATTGACTGCAAGTTTACAACTCCACCCCCTGAGTCCCATCAGTCTTGTGGCTACAGCAACTTGTTGGACAGTTTCCAAGGGCCATGTGATTCAATGAATTCTGGATTTTTTTCCTTTCCAGGATGCTGAGCTCCAGCGGGTACAGAAAGTACGGGAGCTAGAATTAGTCTATGCCCGGGCTCAGCTGGAACTGGAGGTGAGCAAGGCCCAACAGCTGAGTGAGGTGGAGGTAAAGAAGTTCAAGCAGATGACAGAGGCCCTGGGCCCCAGCACCATCAGAGACCTTGCTGTGGCTGGGCCTGAGATGCAGGTGAGAGTTGGGGGATGGGTGTTTGTCTTGAGACCAGACTAGAACTAAGAAGACAGAGCCAGGGAGACAACACAACATCTAGAAAAGTGTCAACCAGGGGATGAGGTCAAACAGTGATTGAATTGCCCCTAGATTCAGCTGCCAACCAAAAGGTCAATGGTTTGAACTCACCAGCTACTCCACGGGAGGAAGACGAGAGAGTCTGCTTCTTTAAAGATTTACAGCTTTGGAAACCCTATAGAACAGTTCTACTCTGTCCTATAGGCTTGCTATAAGTCAGAGGAGACTCAATGGCAGTGGGTTTTTTGTTTGTTCGTTTGTTTTTATATCACATATTCTGATTCCTGTTAACATTTGAGCACAGTATCATACTTAAATACTGTGCTACCCTTATGTGCCAGACACTGTACTAGATGCAGCAGTGAGCTAGAGCTCACAAGGAGACAGCAAACAGATGGGACAGCGTCAGTCTATGACAAGTGCCTCTAAGGAAGTCAGGCAGGGTGGTGAGATGATAGGGGTGTGGTTGTCACTTCAGATTAGTCACTTTAAGTCAAGTCACTCTGAGATGGGGTACTTGAGCCCTACGTGGAGTTGAGAAGAGTTCTCCACCAGAGAGTCCAAGTGGAAAGACACAGAGAGGACAACCTGGTGCATTTCAGGAACGGAAAGGCCTCTGGCTGCAACAGAGCAAGCAAAGGGGTGAAATGCTGAGCTGTGGGAGAGGCAGCGCCCCAGGCTCCCCGCGTGCTTGTCATTTATTGTTGACCGATCTTCTGAGGATGGGGTGGGAGACAGCTGCAGAGTCGCAGAGGAGTGGATGGGGGCCTGCCCTAGAGAGCCAGTCTCGGAGATGAGAGAAGGGACCTCATCTCACCCTCCTCTCTCCCTCCAGGTAAAACTGCTCCAGAGTCTGGGCCTGAAATCAACCCTCATCACTGATGGCTCCACTCCCATCAATCTCTTCAACACGGCCTTAGGTCTGCTAGGGGCAGGGTCTGAGGTTCAGGCCCCAGTCAGGAAGGTGGCTGGTGGGCCCAGCCCGCAAGAAGCCCTGCTTTCCCAATGCCCTCCTGCTCCTCAAGCTTTTGGGAGCACCCACATCGTGCCTTAGCTCTGTACTGCACTGAAATAAAACGGACATTTCTGGCCACCCAAATGTTTTTCTGTTTCTTTACGGTGAAAAGGAGCTTAGTTATTGAAAGTACACCTGAAATCTTGAGACAATTACTAGAGACTACTCTTGTTTGTAAAGTGGAGAGGAAGCTGAGGCAGGGAGAACACTAACCCGAAATAAAACTCCAGAGTCTTACCCGCCAAGCCAGACCTGTCCTCTGGTTAGGTAATCCGCTTTCCTGGACCTCAGGTGGGGGAAAAATGCCACAGGGAGGACAGGGCCTACGTGCCAGCCCCTCTGGGATGGTTCCTGAACGACTAATGTTTCTTCTCACTATGAATTCCGCCTGCTACCTAGCCTGGCTAGGAAATCCTCTTGGAGGTCTAACCCTCTTGCTGCCAGTCATCTATCCCTGCCTCAAACCCCCCAACATTTGGAGGCCTCCTTTGGCATCACCTGCCAGTCATAGCACACATCTGCCACGCCTCTCAGATTGGAGAGGAGGAAACTGCTTAGGTACTTTAGGAACTGGAGTAGCTCTCTGGGCTTCTGTTCTGGGCTGTTTGGAAGCATGGAGGGAGGAGTGCCTCCTTCCACCCTCTTCCACAACCAGGTGTTGTTAGCGGCTGTGAAACTGGCCCCTACTCACAGCAACTCTATGCACAACAGAACCAAATGTTGCCCACCCTGTGCCATCTCTGACTGCTTGCAGATTGGATTGTTGTGATTGGCTGGTTTTGGACAAAGATCACCAAGCTTTTCTTCCTAGTCATCTTAGTCTGGAAGCTCTGCTGTACGTGTTTAGCATCATAGCAGCACAGAAGCCCACAATGACTGATGTGTGATGAAGTACACAGGCCAGCAATCAAAGCTGGGTCTTGATTAAATTGTCAAGGACATTTATTTGTTTATTAAATCAGCTCTAATCTGACTCTCTTTAAAAAAAAAAAAGTGTAGGTAAGTCAGAACCTGTTTCTCTTTGTTTAAACTTTCTTCCCTTTCTTTGCAGAGGGAACACAGTCTTCTAAAGTGATAATTTTATATTTGTCTGATGTAATGCCTCACTTTTTTTTTCCTGCCCTTTTTCCTTTTGGAAAACCTTAAAGATTAATCAAAGAATATTCCATTGTTACGTAAATATTCTAGGAATGGTTCAGCTGAACAGGCAAAAATGTCTAAAAGCAGACCAATTTACCTAATGAATATAGATGCAAAAATAATCAAAATACTAGCAAACCAAATTAAAAGAAAAATGGTGAGAAGATTATACACATGATCAAATAGGATTTATCTCAGGAATGCAAGGGTAGTTCAACATTAGAAAATCAACCAATGTAATATATCACATTAAGAGAACAAAGAAAGAGAAAATATGACCATCTCAATAGATGCAGAAAAAGCAATTAACAAAATTCAATCTTCAAGTATGGAGGGATGGACACTGGGAAGAGGTAACTATGGGGAGAAAGTGGGAGGGGAGCTGTTGCATTGTAAATTTTGGTCAATGACATGAGACAGTATATTATGTGAACTGCTGTATGAAAAGTGAATTTACTCTGTAAATCTTCACCCAAATCAAAATAAAATTAAAAAAAAAAAATTCAATCTTCATAATTGAAAAAAAAAAAAACACTCAACAAGATAGGGATTGAGGGGAAATTCCTCCACTTAATAAATAATATTTATGAAAAAACTACAGCTAACATCATACTCAATGGAGAAAGACTGAGAACTTTTCCATTAAGATCAGAATCAAGAGCAAATCAAAACAACAATGAGATACCATCTTGCCCCAGCACGAGTAGCGAAGTTCAACAAGACAGAAAATAAATGCCGGCGAGGATGCACAGAGACTAGGACTCTCCTACACTGCTGGTGGGACTGTAAAATGGTACAACCACTGTGGAAAACAGTATGGCAATTCCTTAAAAAGTTGGAATTAGAAATACCATTTGACCCAGCCATTCCATTACTAGGTATATATCCTAAAGAAGTGAGAGCCAGGACAAGAACAGACATATGCACACCCATGTTCATCGCAGCACTATTAACAATAGCCAAAAGATGTAAATAACCTAGGTGTCCATCTACTGAGGAATGGATAACCAAACTATGGTACATACACACAATGGAATACTATGCAACCCTAAAGAATAACGTAGAATCTGCAAAACACCACATTACATGGATCAACTTGGAGGACATTATGCTGAGTGAAATAAGTCAATCACAGAATGACAAATACTGTATTAGTCTGTTATTGTGAAAAGTTTATATAAGGAAGGAAATTTTCTTTGTTGGTTACCAGGGGTGGGAGGGGAAAGGAGTGAACACTGTTAGATAGGTAAAGACAAGTATTGATTTGGGTGAAGAGAAGAACACTGTACTAAATGTGAGTGTTCAACGTGGTGGCATTGATGAAGAAGAAGGCATAGAGAGGTATATGGGAGGTATAGACAACAAAGATGCACATATAGTACTGTGTTGTCAGTGAGGGAAAACATGGATATATGTGTGAATAGATGGGTGGACAGGTTGAACTATTAGGTATGTCTGTGTAAGGAGGAGTGTGCCCAAGATGATGTATAGAGTTGCCAGACAATGTTTCTACAAGTGTATTTGTATGTTCTGTAAGAATTCCCAGGGGTGTAGTAGAGCTGACAAGGGACAAGGTTGTAGTCACTTCTTGGGCACAGCCAGCTACTCGGAGTGAGTAGTTGAACCTGTGGACTCGGGACCATAGTCACAGGGGACATCAAGCTCAACTAGTATAACATACTACACAAAACATTGTTCCACTTCCTACTTTGGCAAGTAGCAACTGGGATCCTAAAAGCTTGCAAATAGCCATCCAGATGCAACGATGGGTCTCTCCTTGTCCAGAGCAAAGAAAAATGAAGAAAACTAAAGATTCATGGAAACAATTAGTCCTAGTGACTGGTACACCATGTGATCCACAGCTTATACAACTATGAGACCAGAAGAACTAGATGGTGCCCAGCTACCACTGTCAACCACTCAGAGGAAGATCTATATAGGAGATCCTGGATAGAGAGGGAGAACAATGTGGAACAAAACTCATTCATCTCAAGGGAGAGGGGAAGGGACCAGGTTTGCTGGTCTGATAAAGCCTGGTAGAACCACTGAGACTATGGCCCCTAGCTGCCCTTCAGGTCTGGAATTGAGCCCACTGCTGTGGCTTCCAGCCAAACAAAAGACAGGCATATGAGGTGAACATTTACATTAGGTAAAGGTACACTCCTGGGAGAGAACAATTGTGGGAGAATAGAAGGGCTGTGTATGCACAGGGAGACAGCTCAGGGGGCAGGAGTGCATGGAGGGAAGGACACAGGGAAGAGGTAACTATGGGGAGGAAGTGGGAGGAGAGTTGTTGCATTGGGGTAAATTGTAGTCAATGTCATGAGACAAAGTGTATGTGAACTGTAGTATGGAAAGTGAATTTTCTCTGTAACCTTTCACTCAAATCACCATTTAAAAAAAAAAAAAAAGATCAGTATCAAGAAAAGGATGCTCACTCTCACCACTGCTATTCAACCTGGGTCTGAAAGTCCTACCAAGAGCAATTAGGAAAACAAATGTATCCAAATTGAGAATGAGAAAGTAAAACTATCCCTTTTCACAGATGACATGATCCTATACATAGAAAACCCCCAAAGAATCCACAAGAAAGCTATTAGTAATGAATTCAGCATGGTGGCAGGGTACAAGGGCAAAGTAAAAAATCAGTCCGTTTTTTATACATGAGCAATATCAGGTATAAAATTATGCTAAGGAAATACTACCATTTACATTTACTATAGCATCTAAAAGAATAAGGTACTTAGGAATAAATTTAACCAGGAAGGTGAAAGGCTTGTACACAGAAAACTACAAAACATTACTAAAATACAGAAGACCTAAACAAATGGAAGGACATTGCATGCTTGTGGATTGGAAGGCTTAATATACTTAGCATGTCAATACTACCCAAAGCATTTTATAAATTCAATGCAACCCTCATTAAAATTCCCATAGCCTTCTTGACATAAATGTAAAAGCCAATACTCAAATGTATATTTTGCTGAAGATAATTAAAAAATGGTTGCAGCAGTATATTGACAGGGAACTTCCAGAAATTCAAGCTGGATCCAGAAGAGGACGTGGAACTAGGAATATCATTGCAAAGGTCAGATGGATCTTGGCTGAAAGCAAAGACTATCAGAAGGATGTTTACCTGTGTTTTATTGATTATGCAAAGGCATTCAACTGTGTGGATCATAACACATTATAGATAACATTACAGAGAATGGAAATTCCATAACACTTAATTGTGCTCATGAGGAACTTGTACATAGACCAAAAGGTTGTCATTCAAACAAACAAGGGGATACTTCATGATTTGAAATCAGGAAGGGTGTGAGTCATGGTTGTATCCTTTCACTATACTTATTCAATCTGTATGCTGAGCAAATAATCCAGAAGGTGGACTATATGAGAAAGAACTTGGCATCAGGATCTGGGGAAAACTCATTAACAACGTGAGACATGCAGATGACACAACTTTGCTTGCTGAAAGTCAGGATGACTTGAAGCACTTACCAATGAAGACTAAGGTGGACCTAACCCAAGCCATGGTATTTTCACAATTGCCAGATACGCGTGTAAAAACTGGACAATGAATAAGGATGACCAAAGAAGAGTCGATGACTTTGAATTGTGGTGTTGGCAAAGAATATTGAAAATATCAAAAGACTGCCAGTACGAACAAACAAATCTCTCCTGGAAAAAGTGTAGCCAGAAAGCTCCTTAGAAGCAAGAATGGCCAGACTTTGTCTCTTGTACTTTGGTTATGTTGTCAGAAGGGACCAGTCCCTGGAGGATATCATGCCGGGTAAAGTAGAGGGTCAGTGAAAAAGGGGAAGACCCTCAACTAGACAGATTAAACACAGTAGCTATAAGGATGTCACAGGACCAGGCAGTGTTGCTGTTGTACAAAG